CATGGTAGTTGTAGCCGTATGCGCATGATTTGTGTTCTTGGTAGTTTGATTGATATTCTTTGATCTCACTACTGTTTGACGACATGCCCTAATCTCACTACTGTTTGAACTAACCAACGTGTACAGACAGTTGAGCAGAATTAACACACACACTTATAAGCTTAGACGTGTCGGAAATGGCTGGGGTAGGTGAGGTGGGTCTGGACTGAGACGCGTCGGAAATGGCTGGGGTTGATGGGGGGGGGGGGTCTGGACTTAGACGTGCCGGATATGTTCGATTGTGGTGGTCCGGACTTTGATACAAATGTGAAGGGTTTGTGTTGGTTTTACTTCCCTGTTGGTTCGGTGTTCTACCGTTTGTCTTTTATCTTTTGTTATACTCCTATACTGGGGCCATCTACACTGACGGCCATCTACACTGACGGCCATCTACACTGACGGCCATCTACACTGACGGCCATCTACACTGACGGCCATCTACACTGACGGCCATCTACACTGACGGCCATCTACACTGACGGCCATCTACACTGACGGCCATCTACACTGACGGCCATCTACACTGACGGCCATCTACACTGACGGCCATCTACACTGACGGCCATCTACACTGACGGCCATCTACACTGACGGCCATCTACACTGACGGCCATCTACACTGACGGCCACTTACCTGCACCATATGTCTGATCTCGGCGCCCGTCGACCCTGATGACATTAACCCCTGGCAGTGACATCACATCGGGGGGGGGGGGGGGGTGGAGTGACAAGAAGCGGACCTCGCTGTTCAATTCTTCCAACACAACCTGCCACTATCTCAAGAAAAGATGTCGCGTTTCAGTTACGTCAATACCAATGTAGTCTTACATTATCAACATCAATGTTGTTGAAGGTTGCTGAAGACTCCACCCTTTGTTATTTGAATCTAGAGGTGACAAAATCGATACCCCCTTTCCCCTCCCCCCCCTTTCCCCCGCCCCGAGTGCTACTCTTCTATCTGGGTCAAGGCATTGCAACATAGCCGTTATCTCCAGTTTATTGTTGTAAGATAATGTCTTGGATTTAACGATCACAGTACAGACATGGTCTAGGTTTTTCTTGACAAACTTGTATGGTTGACGTAACTCATGAACTGAGCTTGTTACTTTAGTCACTGTCATGACTAGAAGCTGTCTAAATAAAGGACTGTTGGTGGTTGTTATTTAGTGGTTGTTTGATGGGGTTGTTACCTGGTTGTTATGTGAAGGTTGTCATCAGGTGGTTTTTTTATGTTTGTCATCTAGTTGTCTGATGGTTGTCATATATTTCTCACCGTTATGCCCTTACCCAACTAAAATCTATTTCTTTCTGCCCTATGGTGCCTCATCTCCTCAAGTCCGATAACTCACGGACCGAAACTCAAAAGTCATTAAAATTTGATGCGTCACTGCAAAGCCGTGGACGGCTGAATACTTAATCATTGGACGGCAGGAGAATGGACGCTTTAAAATTTCAAGAATAAATGTAGGCGGATGTCTAATAAATTGTGGACGGCCGACTAGAATCCCAGCCATGCTGCCATCTCCCCTCCACCCCCCTCCCGTGTGGTGAGCTAAGTCTAATTGATAGACGGCTTATTGTTTACTGGGGTCCTGCCAACTTAGACATATCGCCGGCCTGCGCTGAATTATTGATTGGCGCCAGTCTCGTCCATTTAGTTTCTCATCAAAATTTGACATTTGAAAGTAAAGAACCTATTTCCTTCTGGCACTCGAGCGGTTTAACTTGGTCTACCCTGAATGAGCCAAGGGGGCATCAACTTACCCGGGCACCTTTTAATTACGCGAGATTTGAAGAATGAAAGCACATGTAAACATCCACCTTCAACTTGCTTACAATTCAATTCGTATCGTAGTCATGGAAATAAGTCACTGTGAACGCGAGATTTGAAGAATGAAAGCACATGTAAATATCCACCTTCAACTTGCTTACAATTCAATTCGTATCGTAGTCATGGAAATAAGTCACTGTGAACGCGAGATTTGAAGAATGAAAGCACATGTAAATATCCACCTTCAACTTGCTTACAATTCAATTCGTATCGTAGTCATGGAAATAAGTCACTGTGAACGCGAGATTTGAAGAATGAAAGCACATGTAAATATCCACCTTCAACTTGCTTACAATTCAATTCGTATCGTAGTCATGGAAATAAGTCACTGTGAACGCGAGATTTGAAGAATGAAAGCACATGTAAATATCCACCTTCAACTTGCTTACAATTCAATTCGTATCGTAGTCATGGAAATAAGTCACTGTGAACGCGAGATTTGAAGAATGAAAGCACATGTAAATATCCACCTTTAACTTGCTTACAATTCAATTCGTATCGTAGTCATGGAAATAAGTCACTGTGAACGCGAGATTTGAAGAATGAAAGCACATGTAAATATCCACCTTCAACTTGCTTACAATTCAATTCGTATCGTAGTCATGGAAATAAGTCACTGTGAACGCGAGATTTGAAGAATGAAAGCACATGTAAATATCCACCTTCAACTTGCTTACAATTCAATTCGTATCGTAGTCATGGAAATAAGTCACTGTGAACGCGAGATTTGAAGAATGAAAGCACATGTAAATATCCACCTTCAACTTGCTTACAATTCAATTCGTATCGTAGTCATGGAAATAAGTCACTGTGAACGCGAGATTTGAAGAATGAAAGCACATGTAAATATCCACCTTCAACTTGCTTACAATTCAATTCGTATCGTAGTCATGGAAATAAGTCACTGTGAACGCGAGATTTGAAGAATGAAAGCACATGTAAATATCCACCTTCAACTTGCTTACAATTCAATTCGTATCGTAGTCATGGAAATTAGTCACTGTGAACGCGAGATTTGAAGAATGAAAGCACATGTAAATATCCACCTTCAACTTGCTTACAATTCAATTCGTATCGTAGTCATGGAAATAAGTCACGGTGAACGCGAGATTTGAAGAATGAAAGCACATGTAAATATCCACCTTCAACTTGCTTACAATTCAATTCGTATCGTAGTCATGGAAATAAGTCACTGTGAACGCGAGATTTGAAGAATGAAAGCACATGTAAATATCCACCTTCAACTTGCTTACAATTCAATTCGTATCGTAGTCATGGAAATAAGTCACTGTGAACGCGAGATTTGAAGAATGAAAGCACATGTAAATATCCACCTTCAACTTGCTTACAATTCAATTCGTATCGTAGTCATGGAAATAAGTCACTGTGAACGCGAGATTTGAAGAATGAAAGCACATGTAAATATCCACCTTCAACTTGCTTACAATTCAATTCGTATCGTAGTCATGGAAATTAGTCACTGTGAACGCGAGATTTGAAGAATGAAAGCACATGTAAATATCCACCTTCAACTTGCTTACAATTCAATTCGTATCGTAGTCATGGAAATTAGTCACTGTGAACGCGAGATTTGAAGAATGAAAGCACATGTAAATATCCACCTTCAACTTGCTTACAATTCAATTCGTATCGTAGTCATGGAAATAAGTCACTGTGAAGTGACCCCTCATTTCTCCCCCTCCCCCTAGATAAACCACTGAATATGAAACCAGCTGGTGCTTCACAAAACAGTTCCCGCGATGGGAGATGGTGACTGCACATTAGGACATTGACCTCTTTAGTTTGATGTTTTGTTCCGTTAGAACTCAAATCTCGGCACTGTTTCTGTTGGTCGCACGGCCTATGTTCCATTGGTCCCACGCCTATGATGTTTCTGTTGGTCGCACGGCCTATGTTGTTCCATTGGTCGCACGGCCTATGTTGTTCTGTTGGTCGCACGGCCTATTCGCACGGCCTATGTTGTTCCATTGGTCGCACACTGTTGTTCCATTGGTCGCACGGCCTATGTTGTTCCATTGGTCGCACGGCCTATGTTGTTCCACATTATAATTATTTAAAATAATTATTTGATACGAGCAGACCTGCGCCGTAAGCATACGCCGCTATTTAGTTATTTTCTACTTTTCAGTAGTTCATATAATTTGTGAATTCAACACTACCAATGCTGCGACTGAAAATAGTATGCTTTAAAACACTATCGGTCGCTCGTGAAGGACGATTATTCCCCCCCCCCCCCCCCCCTCCGCCTTGAAAAGATCAAGCAGAACTTATTACCTCCACTTAGTTTCAAATCGTTTAAAAACTAAATTATCTGCCCCTAATAGCCGTCACTACGGTTGTAAACATTCAGTTTGGGGATGGTAGCTATATGCCTAGAGAGCGGTGCAGTAACGGCGTGCGTTTACGTGGTGTCTGGCAGGGCCCCAATGAAGAGAGTTGTATATATATATATATATATATATATATATATATATATATATATATATATATATATATATATATATATATATATATATATATAATAGATTGGTTCTATCTGTAAATTATTTGATATTGTTCTATTTATGAAGTAGAACTTTGCCTACGCGAGATCTGTTTGATCAAAGACCTCAGATGTAAGCTGCAAGTTTTCTAGAGTAAACCTTCACTCTGTATGTCAACCAACTGATTTGATTAAACCCGAGCTACATTACACATGGAAATAACTCGTGAAATATTTAACACCACGTCATCTAAATACTTCTTGGCTCTGCGGCAAATATCGACCAAAGCAACCAGGTTTTCCCCTAGTCACCTATGTGATGACTTAACCGGCAAGTATCTCCCTACCTGTTTACCCAGGTATTTCATCCATCGATCACAGCCACATCGATCTATCACTGCGGGTAGGGTGACTAGATCCGTCATGACGTAGCTCAATTAAAGCCGTATTAACCAGCAATTTTCTTACTGTTATCAGTTGTCTCGTCAAAAATCATTGGCCTACTGTAACAACAGGCATGCGTGTATAATTGGTAGCTATCGACAGCTTGTTGCCAGAAGTAATTTGTGCAGGGCGTATACAATTGTGTTCTTAAAGCAAAAGAAACTATTTTTTCCCGTTCTTTTTTTAGACTATGTGTGAACGACGAACAAAGTGGCTTAATTTTACAGGGTGTAGTAGAACTGGGATTTTAATGCAGATATCTGCTCTTTGATCTGTGTGGCCCAGGGTTTTAGCTCTTTGATCTGTGTGGTCCTGGGTTTTAGCTCTTTGATCTGTGTGGCCCAGGGTTTTAGCTCTTTGATCTGTGTGGCCCTGGGTTTTAGCTCTTTGATCTGTGTGGCCCTGGGTTTTAGCTCTTTGATCTGTGTGGCCCTGGGTTTTAGCTCTTTGATCTGTGTGGCCCTGGGTTTTAGCTCTTAGATCTGTGTGTTTAGCTCTTTGATCTGTGTGGCCCTGGGTTTTAGCTCTTTGATCTGTGTGGTCCTGGGTTTTAGCTCTTTGATCTGTGTGGCCCAGGGTTTTAGCTCTTTGATCTGTGTGGCCCTGGGTTTTAGCTCTTTGATCTGTGTGGCCCTGGGTTTTAGCTCTTTGATCTGTGTGGCCCTGGGTTTTAGCTCTTTGATCTGTGTAACCCTGGGTTTTAGCTCTTAGATCTGTGTGTTTAGCTCTTTGATCTGTGTGGCCCTGGGTTTTAGCTCTTTGATCTGTGTGGCCCTGGGTTTTAGCTCTTTGATCTGTGTGGCCCTGGGTTTTAGCTCTTTGATCTGTGTGGCCCTGGGTTTTAGCTCTTTGATCTGTGTGGCCCTGGGTTTTAGCTCTTAGATCTGTGTGTTTAGCTCTTTGATCTGTGTGGCCCTGGGTTTTAGCTCTTTGATCTGTGTGGCCCTGGGTTTTAGCTCTTAGATCTGTGTGTTTAGCTCTTTGATCTGTGTGGCCCTGGGTTTTAGCTCTTTGATCTGTGTGGCCCTGGGTTTTAGCTCTTAGATCTGTGTGTTTAGCTCTTTGATCCGTGTGGCCCTGGGTTTTAGCTCTTTGATCTGTGTGGCCCTGGGTTTTAGCTCTTTGATCTGTGTGGCCCTGGGTTTTAGCTCTTAGATCTGTGTGTTTAGCTCTTTGATCTGTGTGGTCCTGGGTTTTAGCTCTTTGATCCGTGTGGCCCTGGGTTTTAGCTCTTTGATCTGTGTGGCCCTGGGTTTTAGCTCTTTGATCTGTGTGGCCCTGGGTTTTAGCTCTTAGATCTGTGTGTTTAGCTCTTTGATCTGTGTGGCCCTGGGTTTTAGCTCTTTGATCTGTGTGGCCCTGGGTTTTAGCTCTTAGATCTGTGTGTTTAGCTCTTTGATCTGTGTGGCCCTGGGTTTTAGCTCTTTGATCTGTGTGGCCCTGGGTTTTAGCTCTTAGATCTGTGTGTTTAGCTCTTTGATCCGTGTGGCCCTGGGTTTTAGCTCTTTGATCTGTGTGGCCCTGGGTTTTAGCTCTTTGATCTGTGTGGCCCTGGGTTTTAGCTCTTAGATCTGTGTGTTTAGCTCTTTGATCCGTGTGGCCCTGGGTTTTAGCTCTTTGATCTGTGTGGCCCTGGGTTTTAGCTCTTTGATCTGTGTGGCCCTGGGTTTTAGCTCTTTGATCTGTGTGGTCCTGGGTTTTAGCTCTTTGATCCGTGTGGCCCTGGGTTTTAGCTCTTTGATCTGTGTGGCCCTGGGTTTTAGCTCTTTGATCTGTGTGGCCCTGGGTTTTAGCTCTTAGATCTGTGTGTTTAGCTCTTTGATCTGAGTGGCCCTGGGTTTTAGCTCTTTGATCTGTGTGGCCCTGGGTTTTAGCTCTTAGATCTGTGTGTTTAGCTCTTTGATCTGTGTGGCTCTGGGTTTTAGCTCTTTGATCTGTGTGGCCCTGGGTTTTAGCTCTTTGATCTGTGTGGCCCTGGGTTTTAGCTCTTTGATCTGTGTGGCCCTGGGTTTTAGCTCTTAGATCTGTGTGTTTAGCTCTTTGATCTGTGTGGCCCTGGGTTTTAGCTCTTTGATCTGTGTGGCCCTGGGTTTTAGCTCTTTGATCTGTGTGGCCGTGGGTTTTAGCTCTTTGATCTGTGTGGCCCTGGGTTTTAGCTCTTTGATCTGTGTGGCCCTGGGTTTTAGCTCTTTGATCTGTGTGGCCCTGGGTTTTAGCTCTTTGATCTGTGTGGCCCTGGGTTTTAGCTCTTTGATCTGTGTGGCCCTGGGTTTTAGCTCTTTGATCTGTGTGGCCCAGGGTTTTAGCTCTTTGATCTGTGTGGCCCTGGGTTTTAGCTCTTTGATCTGTGTGGCCCTGGGTTTTAGCTCTTTGATCTGTGTGGCCCTGGGTTTTAGCTCTTTGATCTGTGTGGCCCTGGGTTTTAGCTCTTTGATCTGTGTGTTTAGCTCTTTGATCTGTGTGGCTCTGGGTTTTAGCTCTTTGATCTGTGTGGCCCTGGGTTTTAGCTCTTTGATCTGTGTGGCCCTGGGTTTTAGCTCTTTGATCTGTGTGGCCCTGGGTTTTAGCTCTTAGATCTGTGTGTTTAGCTCTTTGATCTGTGTGGCCCTGGGTTTTAGCTCTTTGATCTGTGTGGCCCTGGGTTTTAGCTCTTTGATCTGTGTGGCCCTGGGTTTTAGCTCTTTGATCTGTGTGGCCCTGGGTTTTAGCTCTTTGATCTGTGTGGCCCTGGGTTTTAGCTCTTTGATCTGTGTGGTCCTGGGTTTTAGCTCTTTGATCTGTGTGGCCCTGGGTTTTAGCTCTTTGATCTGTGTGGCCCTGGGTTTTAGCTCTTTGATCTGTGTGGCCCTGGGTTTTAGCTCTTTGATCTGTGTGGCCCTGGGTTTTAGCTCTTTGATCTGTGTGGCCCTGGGTTTTAGCTCTTTGATCTGTGTGGCCCTGGGTTTTAGCTCTTTGATCTGTGTGGCCCTGGGTCTTAGATTCGTGTATGCAGAGGCGTAGCGACCTCATCCGGCGCCCGGGCGGACTATCAATTTTGCGCCCCCCCCCCCCCCCCCATTTATATATATAGTTTTTCCTGTCTGCGAAAAAGACCTCCCCCCCCCCTAAGTTGGAAAGGTTTTTAGCGCTTCTTACCAGTTACTATCCTGAAACAATTTCAATTTCGGTGTCACAAAGTTGTTAAATCAGTGTGTGGAGCCTTGTAGTCCCATTAAGGTCGGCGCCCGGGGCGGCCGCCCCACCCGCCCTCCCCTAGCTACGCCTCTGCGTGCATGGGGCAGATATTCTCACTAACATATCACAGAGTGGGACCTTCACGATGGTAGCCACACCTGTTGTTAATCCACACGTTAATCTGAATTATCACGTGTTAGATGTCAGCTCATTTCTACACCTGTTGTTAATCCGCCAGTTATCATCACGTGTTGGATGCTATCCCTCTCCCTACACCTGTTGTTAATCCGCCAGTTAATCATCACGTGTTGAATGCTATCCCTCTCCCTACACCTGTTGTTAATCCGTCACTTATCCTAGCCGTTAAAACCTACTCGACCTATTCGATTGCTAGTGTTGCTGTTGTTTTGATGATCCAGCCCTAAGCTAGTGTATTTTAATCGTATCTTGTAGTTTTTGTATACGTGTATCTAGTGCATCTATTACAACTCATCAAAACGTTCTATACGCTGAATGCTGAATTGTTGAGCTGAGACAGCTTGAAATGTTACTAAAGTAAACATGTATTTGACAAGAAAACACACCAAGGGGTCAGTGGCTACACATGTGACAGTTAATTGGGTCAGTGACTACACATGTGTCGATAGTTAGACTGTTCTAGAACACACCACGGGGTCAGTAGTTACACATGTGTCGACAGTTTGACTGTTCTAGAACACACCACGGGGTCAGTGAGTACACATGTTGGCCGCAGCCCGTTTATTCATACATTGACTCATCTACCTAGTGCAACAGCTTGTTCAATTCTCTGTTCAATATGACATTATACAACAGTTTGTTCTGTCATCTATTTTATCACCTGTTGTATCTTAGTTTCTGTCGTCTATTGTATCATTCCTTGTATCATATGTTCCATTGTATTAACCGTAATATCATGTTCTATTATCTGGTGTATCATCTGTTGTATTATCTGTTGTATCATCTGTTTTGTCATCTATTGTATCATCTATTGTATCATCTATGGTATCATCTGTTGTATTATCTGTTTAAAACCTGAGACTCTGGGAATGTTCCCCAACTAATTACAAACTTCCATCTGAATCATAATTTCTTTTCGATTGTTTGTGGTTAATTATTGTTACCCACTCTTTAACTAGCAGTTGAATTCAAACTTTATACGTGATAGCGCAAAGTTATGTTAATTTTCAATTAAATCTTAAAAACGGCATGTTCTATTTAAGTTATATTCTCTAACAATAAATGAGATGTCCAGCCAGTGCGGCTAGCTATCGGTCAGTGGAACTCGTGTTCACCAATGGTGTTTTAGACCCCAGAACGACTTTAAAAGGTGGTTTATATTGGTGGTCACGTGTGTTGGTGTCGCGTGGGTGGGTATGGCCATCGAAGCGTGACTAGAGATTCCTGTCAATAAACTTTCCTGGTTCCACCTCATTTGTTTACACCTTACCTGCCCCCCCCCCTCCCCTGTACTCACGTGCATGTTTGTTGTGTTACCTGATATCTTATCTAGACGAAGCTTCACCTGCACAGTTCCACTAAGATCGGAATGTTCTGTCTTATCCAGCCCACATGACACGACGTCATGTTGTTTTCTTCTGGCTAAAAATAGATCGTTGTTTGTTGTTCTTTTTAAATGTCTGCCAGTTGCCCTGTTTGATCAAGTAAAAAAAAAACTAATCCATAGCGTCATCTTACCAAACGGGTGCACCTAATGTGGATCACTGGGTGTTTAATCCTACAGCGGTCGTTACCCTCGGGTTACACCAGACATGTTAGACATATGGTGCGGAATGTTAAACCACATCCTACCGCAGTATCATACCCCTGTAGCTAGCCATTTGTTTGTGTGATGGTAGACATAGAGGTGCGGAATGTTAAACCACATCCTACCGCAGTATCATACCCCTGTAGCTAGCCATTTGGTTGTGTGATGGTAGACATATAGGTGCGGAATGTTAAACCACATCCTACCGCAGTATCATACCCCTGTAGCTAGCCATTTGTTTGTGTGATGGTAGACATATGGGTGCGGAATGTTAAACCACATCCTACCGCAGTATCATACCCCTGTAGCTAGCCATTTGTTTGTGTGATGGTAGACATATAGGTGCGGAATGTTAAACCACATCCTACCGCAGTATCATACCCCTGTAGCTAGCCATTTGTTTGTGTGATGGTAGACATATAGGTGCGGAATGTTAAACCACATCCTACCGCAGTATCATACCCCTGTAGCTAGCCATTTGTTTGTGTGATGGTAGACATATAGGTGCGGAATGTTAAACCACATCCTACCGCAGTATCATACCCCTGTAGCTAGCCATTTGTTTGTGTGATGGTAGACATAGAGGTGCGGAATGTTAAACCACATCCTACCGCAGTATCATACCCCTGTAGCTAGCCATTTGGTTGTGTGATGGTAGACATAGAGGTGCGGAATGTTAAACCACATCCTACCGCAGTATCATACCCCTGTAGCTAGCCATTTGGTTGTGTGATGGTAGACATATAGGTGGGGAATGTTAAACCACATCCTACCGCAGTATCATACCCCTGTAGCTAGCCATTTGGTTGTGTGATGGTAGACATATAGGTGGGGAATGTTAAACCACATCCTACCGCAGTATCATACCCCTGTAGCTAGCCATTTGGTTGTGTGATGGTAGACATATAGGTGGGGAATGTTAAACCACATCCTACCGCAGTATCATACCCCTGTAGCTAGCCATTTGGTTGTGTGATGGTAGACATATAGGTGAGGAATGTTAAACCACATCCTACCGCAGTATCATACCCCTGTAGCTAGCCATTTGGTTGTGTGATGGTAGACATATAGGTGAGGAATGTTAAACCACATCCTACCGCAGTATCATACCCCTGTAGCTAGCCATTTGTTTGTGTGATGGTAGACATAGAGGTGCGGAATGTTAAACCACATCCTACCGCAGTATCATACCCCTGTAGCTAGCCATTTGTTTGTGTGATGGTAGACATACAGGTGGGGAATGTTAAACCACATCCTACCGCAGTATCATACCCCTGTAGCTAGCCATTTGTTTGTGTGATGGTAGACATAGAGGTGGGGAATGTTAAACCACATCCTACCGCAGTATCATACCCCTGTAGCTAGCCATTTGTTTGTGTGATGGTAGACATAGAGGTGGGGAATGTTAAACCACATCCTACCGCAGTATCATACCCCTGTAGCTAGCCATTTGTTTGTGTGATGGTAGACATAGAGGTGCGGAATGTTAAACCACATCCTACCGCAGTATCATACCCCTGTAGCTAGCCATTTGTTTGTGTGATGGTAGACATATAGGTGCGGAATGTTAAACCACATCCTACCGCAGTATCATACCCCTGTAGCTAGCCATTTGTTTGTGTGATGGTAGACATAGAGGTGGGGAATGTTAAACCACATCCTACCGCAGTATCATACCCCTGTAGCTAGCCATTTGTTTGTGTGATGGTAGACATAGAGGTGGGGAATGTTAAACCACATCCTACCGCAGTATCATACCCCTGTAGCTAGCCATTTGTTTGTGTGATGGTAGACATAGAGGTGCGGAATGTTAAACCACATCCTACCGCAGTATCATACCCCTGTAGCTAGCCATTTGTTTGTGTGATGGTAGACATAGAGGTGCGGAATGTTAAACCACATCCTACCACAGTATCATACCCCTGTAGCTAGCCATTTGTTTGTGTGATGGTAGACATAGAGGTGGGGAATGTTAAACCACATCCTACCGCAGTATCATACCCCTGTAGCTAGCCATTTGTTTGTGTGATGGTAGACATAGAGGTGGGGAATGTTAAACCACATCCTACCGCAGTATCATACCCCTGTAGCTAGCCATTTGTTTGTGTGATGGTAGACATAGAGGTGCGGAATGTTAAACCACATCCTACCGCAGTATCATACCCCTGTAGCTAGCCATTTGTTTGTGTGATGGTAGACATAGAGGTGCGGAATGTTAAACCACATCCTACCGCAGTATCATACCCCTGTAGCTAGCCATTTGTTTGTGTGATGGTAGACATAGAGGTGCGGAATGTTAAACCACATCCTACCGCAGTATCATACCCCTGTAGCTAGCCATTTGTTTGTGTGATGGTAGACATAGAGGTGCGGAATGTTAAACCACATCCTACCGCAGTATCATACCCCTGTAGCTAGCCATTTGTTTGTGTGATGGTAGACATAGAGGTGCGGAATGTTAAACCACATCCTACCGCAGTATCATACCCCTGTAGCTAGCCATTTGTTTGTGTGATGGTAGACATAGAGGTGCGGAATGTTAAACCACATCCTACCGCAGTATCATACCCCTGTAGCTAGCCATTTGTTTGTGTGATGGTAGACATAGAGGTGCGGAATGTTAAACCACATCCTACCGCAGTATCATACCCCTGTAGCTAGCCATTTGTTTGTGTGATGGTAGACATAGAGGTGCGGAATGTTAAACCACATCCTACCGCTGTATCATACCGCTGTAGCTAGCCATTTGTTTGTGTGATGGTAGACATAGAGGTGCGGAATGTTAAACCACATCCTACCACAGTATCATACCCCTGTAGCTAGCCATTTGTTTGTGTGATGGTAGACATATAGGTGCGGAATGTTAAACCACATCCTTACGCAGTATCATACCCCTGTAGCTAGCCATTTGTTTGTGTGATGGTAGACATATAGGTGCGGAATGTTAAACTACATCCTACCACAGTATCATACCCCTGTAGCTAGCCATTTGTTTGTGTGATGGTAGACATAGAGGTGCGGAATGTTAAACCACATCCTACCGCAGTAT